TATATATATATATATATATGGGCAAAGTTACCCACTTAATAACTCACAGTGAATATTGAATTTCAGTAATCCAATCATTACATTAAAAGTTTTTAATGCATATATCAAACATACAATTTTTTAAATTTTTAAAAATTATTTGATATTTTATTTCATTAATTCAAATTGACAAATAAGAATAAAAATATTTTATATATTGATTTGAATTTAGCTAACGAAGTAACACATGATTTTCAAATTTTTAAAAAATTAACTTGTATATTTGATTTATACATTAATAACTTTTAATTTAACGTTTGAATCGTTGAAATTCAACTTATATCACAAGTTATTGAGTTGAATAATTTTACTAAGAGGAATCCAACGTATACCATATAAAAATGTCTTTGAAAATCAAATTTTGAGTTTGAAAGTGACTTACGTGTAGAGAATATATTAACACTTTATGATGTTTATGATAATATATTCATAAAATATTTTATACGTTGATTTAAATTAATAAAATAAAGTATCAAATAATTTTTAAATTTTTTAAAAATTTGTAAACGTGATATATGTATTAAGAATTTCTAATTCAATTATTAGATTGTTAATACTTGATGTAAAACATGCGTTATCGAGTAAAATAAATCTAGGTAAACTTACACTTAGACAAAATGGATCCCTTCTCAAATAGATTTATCCATTAATTTGAATTAATGAAACAAAGTATTATATGATTTTTAATTTTCTTAAAAATTTATAAATTTAATATATACATTAAGAACTTTTAATTTAATAGTTGCATCATTGAAATTTGATATAAAATATAAATTATTAAACGGAATAAACGAATCCCTTCTCTCTCCCCCAAATCTCTCTCTCTCTCTCTCTCTATATATATATATATATATATATACTTTATTTAATAACTCATTATATATATTCATCTCCTCCAAAAATAATTTTTATTAAAATTACTTTATTAATAAGTCATTATTTACATTCTTAATTATGTATATATAATTTATATATTTGGGTTGGAAGACAATGTGAGAGTCGAGAATGGTGGACCCTTCTTTATTTGAGGCGAGCTATCCTTTTGTTGACTAATTAACAAATTGTGGAGAGGATATTATTAATATCATTTGGTATATTCTTTGTCTAGCTCCATAGATGGTGGAGGAAGCTAGTGGGGAGCAACGAAACAATTGCTCTATATGATAGTTTTAAAAATCGGACCGGTCATCGAACCGGTTAAGGTACTGGGTCAATAGGTCAAAGGTTGAACCGGTGAATTATTAGTTGAACCGCATGATTCGGTTTTTATTTATTTTTATTAAAAAAAAATATTCATATTAAATATATTTTATACTTATAATATTTAATAAATTCATATCTTATTTTAAATTTCAAATTTTCTATCTTATTTAAAATTATTTTTATTTTTATTTTGTAAAAAAATACATAAAAAAATTACATGTTAAACGGTATATTAATACAAATTAAAAATATAAATAATATGTACATATATAATATGCTTGCAATTAATATCACAAAATAATATATGTAATATTTACATAGATATTGCATTATTAAATATATAATTTAAATTTAATAATATACTATAAAAGTTATTTAAGTTGTATATATTGCAAACAAATATATTAGAACACGTAGTCATTGTTATATTTAATAAGACTCCTTGCTTTTCCATTAAGAGATTCAATTTTCATTATTATTTTTTGTGGTTTATGGTCCCTTAAAAAATAAAAAATAAAAAAATGGTTGAACCGGTTTGACCCACCGGTTCACCGGTTGAACCGGAAAATTGACCGGTTCAATTCGATTTGAAACGAGTCGACTACATAACCGATCCAACTTAAGATTCAGACCGGCTGGATCACCGGTTCCTAGTCCAACCGGTCCAACCGGCCGGTTCGGTCCGATTTTTAAATCACTGCTCTATATAGTGGGAATGAGTACTATATGACATGGGGTGAAGAAACAAATTCAATTCTATCACTGGATCATAGCCCAGTCTCATGATTATCTTGATATATACCGAAATATTTAAACTGTATACATTAATTTTGTTATATGACTCAACGAAAATATTGGATATTCTTATTAACATATAAGACTGCAGCGAGAAAAAAAATATAAAAAACATATTTGTAATATAAATGTTAGGTTAACTAGAACAAAGAAATCTTTTGTGTATATTCATCCAATAATAAAATAAAATAAAATATAAATATATATATATATATATATATATTATTGTTCTTACTAGCTAACCTAACATTTATATTATAAAAATTAATCATTATTTTTAATGATATAAATAAAAAAATCTTATGTCATCCCTTATTTTTATCCTATTGGGGTAATACTTTTCTTATTCCCAACGAGGAGTTGGATTCGTAACATATAAGTTCTCTGTATATTTGTGAGAATTTGTTCACATATTTTCACTTGTTTTTTTAGTTAAAGTAGTTCAAGAACCGGAAATAGTTCCTCCAGTAGTAGTAAGTGGTAGTAGGTTCAGATTCTTAACCACTTGGGACAATCACGTTACAAACACTTGGTTATTAGAATACATAGATTATTTAAAAATAAAGAGTTCGCCTAAAATATATAACGAGACATGATGGCTGATTATTATCGATACAAGGCAGGCTCAAATTTAATGGGTTTGCCGAATTAAACAAGTCAAAGCTGGACCAAAACTTTGTGAAACCCGAATGAATATATTGGACCAGTAAGGCCCACTAGACCTTTTAATACTTCAACAGAAAGGAGGGGAACTCAACACTATTAATTATGGCTCTTTTACGAGCATGGTTGAATAAGTGTTTTTGTTATTTTCTTTTATTGAAAAAAGTTATTTAGTTTTATTAAAAAAATACTTTAAAAAATAAACTATTTTAAGTTTTTATCTAGATAAATTTACAATACAACATAGATAAATATTAAATATTAAAACACCAGAATCGATTTAATGGTGAAAAACAAAATTGAGATAAAATATACAAAATTTTATATTCAAATATAGTAATCATTTTTGTAGTATTTTATATTTATTAAAAATGTCAAACATATTGAATAAATATTTTTTTACCAACTTTTCTAATATCAATATGTAATTTTTAGTATATATATATATGTTCCGGCCAAAGGGTGGATTAGGGATTTTTCCTAGGTCAAGCCTCAAAGTCAGAGCATTCAAAAGTGTCAATCTGCCTTCTTAGCTTTAGGGTTTTAGGTTTTATACTTTCTCGCTCATGGGCCTCGTGGGCTCCGTGAATGTGGGGATTTTCTTAACCGTTATTATTTGGGTAACACTTGGCGAACGCGAGGATCTTCGATCAGGTCCCGACCGACAAGACCCATACCGAGAGACTGGTCGGGTACTGGCCGAGCGGGGTCTTAAAGGCGAGGGGGATCGGAATGGGGCCGATCTAGCTTACGCAAATAGCCAACTCGGTCCTAGGCCGAGTGACCCCAAGAAAAGGGGGGGGGGGG